CTTTGCGGATTGAAAGGGTTGCATTGAAGAAAGAAGATGGATTAAGAAGGGTAGTATATTTCATCAAAAAAGACAAAAAAGGAAGGGCAGTATTTGTCCTCTCAATTGATAAGACACTTATTGGGAGTGTACGAGGTCAACTATGGCGTGCGGACATGAGCAAATTTCTAGATGGCGGCGGTTTTTTAAATGGGAAAAATGCATTTTTCATCTCTGATATTTAAGGAGTTAATTAATTTTATCTCTAAAGTTTCATGCAAATTACGTTTCATGCTCATAATTTTATAATTTCGATCAATTTTATCCCTAAAGTTTATGTAGAACACCTTTCATTTTCATAGTTTTATAATTTCTATCAATTGAGGATAATTAAATAATTGTTAACTAATTTGGACATAATATCATCACATGTCCCGTTAGTAATTGTATTGTTAATAATCCTTAATTTAGTTATTGATTAAATTGCCGAAATAACAAGAAGTGTTTTTGGATAGGATACTATCTCCTTTTTTTTAAAAAAAAAATTATGATATGATGTATTTGAGATACAAACAAATAGATGATTGAAAATCATGTAACAAAACAAAATTTTGCAAATAAACGACAATCCAAACCATTCTTTCTATCGCATTAATATTTTTCTCCAATTCGTTGTAGTGGAGTTGTTTGACATTTTTCTCTAATTGGTTATACTGGGATTGTTTCTTTTCTACGACTTTGTTTTCTATATATCTCTTGTTCGATTGTAATTAAGAAGAAAGTAATGGTGGCTAAAAAGTTCTTAGGTTTTTGTTGTACCAAAATGAAAATGTGAATTAAGAAAAGATTTTTGAAGTTTTTGTTGATCCAATGTTAATTTTACTAATGGGCATGCTGTAGTCAAGTGACGATATTCCATTCAAATTGCTTGACAATATATCAGTTGTCCTCAATTAGCTAAATTATGAAACTACGAAGGATGAAATGTGTTTGCTTGAAACTTTAAAGATGGAATTAGTCATTATTATAAAATTACAAGAATGAAATATATATTGCATGAAACTTTAGAGACCAAATTGATTAACACCTTAAACATTAGGGATGAAAAGTGCAATTTTCCTTTTGGAATGAATTTTTGAATAATAAAAATTTTTAAACAACGTATTCAATGAATGTATTTTTAAGAAAAAAATGGAGACAAATTAAAGAATGCATCCTATCAATGCAATTTTTGCAAAATGTTGCATTCAGTGAATAATTTTTTTCACTTTTTAGATCATTCTTTTGGAATATCTTAAGAATCACGCTCTTTAGAAATTTACTCATGCGGACACCACGCCATATTATAAAAAAAATGAAAGGACGGGAAGCGTAAACCCACCTTCATATTATAAAAAAAAAAAAATCACAATACCATTGCTTGCAAACAAGAGAACCAAGGGTTCTTATCCAACAAGAAGTGTTATGGCAAATAGATTACTCTACCTATCTCATTGAAAGCGTCACATTTTTTATTTTGAAATGTTTTAAAATATTTATCAGTTTATCAAAATCAACGTTATTTATGATTTCTTTTTTCCAATATCATCTACTCTCTATCTATATTTCATTTTAAATTTAAATTTAAAATTTGAATTTTTTGTGCAATTTTACAAAGAAATCTATTAATATTATCATCAAATCACTATTTTTAAAATATTGGAATCCAAAAATGCGGCAAATAATTTGGAATGGGGAGAGTACTAATTGTCTGGCGTTTTCATCCTTCCCTCGACCTAGTTAACAAAAGACTCGACTCTTTTCCCAATTTGATGATTGCCTTTATTTCTGTGCACATGAATCATTGAATTTGTTAAAGATTACTCGTATGATGGGCCACAAGGGCCTTGTGCAATTAGCAATTGTATTTGGATGGTATTTTTTGGGTATATATATAAAAACTTATTTTAACTTACTGTAAAATTTATAGAAAAATTTTTATGAGTAAATTGAAAAACTCTTTAATTTTTCTTTTTCCTTTTTTTTGTTTTGCTTTTTCATTTCTTCCTCTCTTCTTCTTCCTCCTTATTACTGTCACTACTTCAAACAATTGCTCGCCAACACTTCTACCAGCGCTGCCGTCTCGCCCCCTCTCTCCTTCTCCCCTCCTCTTCTCTCCCTTTATTCTCCTCCTTCCCCCTTCCCCAACCGCTCCCTCCCCCCTCACATGACCTATAGTCACGCGACTAGAAGTCATGCCAAAGGGGGGAAGGGCGCGAGGTGGGGGTGGTAGGGAAAGGAAGAAAAGAGGGGGAGAGGAGAAGGAGGAGGGAGGAAGGAGAAGGGGAAATAAAGAAAAAGCTTGTGTATGTTTTAGATGTTTTTGAGTGTTCATTTTAAAAATTTTGGGATATTTTTTGAAATTTTTGTAGACAAAGTTATTAAAAGAAAACTTATCTACTAAAAACAAGGACTAGAGGCACGCTTGTCAGTGACAATAATTTGGGACGGTGTAAGAATTTTTGAACGGATTATAAATCAAATTAAACAACTTATACATTCTTATAACAGTGGTGCAATATTCTATTATTATTTATATGAATTCCATCCATAATAATTGTTTATCTATTATAAGGATATACAAAATTATTAATTTAAATTACAAGCGGTTCAAAAATCTTTACACTGTTTGGAATTGTTGTCACTGTCCCCCATAGCCCTGCTCCTAAAAGTAGGCCTACCAAATAGACCCAGAACTGCTGACGCTAGTTTACATCCCAGAGTAGACATCAGCATTATCCAATTCGAGCCACTCAATTTAATTCTACATTTCATGTTGTCCACTCGAATAGGATCACATTAGCTCAGCCCATCTGGACCAACACCTGTGTCGGCAATTGCCAATTATTCAATATAATCGCTGAGAAACTCGGTCCCGTCGGTCCGGTCAGAAACGGCTATAAAAGTCTGGTTCGCTGCCTACAATCATCAAGAAACGAATATTAGAATAGAACCAATCTTAAGTTCTCAACCCTCTCTATAACAAACGAACATGGCTAGCAACAACAAGGCTCTGATCACTGCCCTTTTGTTTCTCTTCTTTCTCTCAACTCAACCCATCCTAGTACCTTCATCAGCAAGAAAGATCCTAGAGACGAGTAAGTCCCACTTTTGCAGTTCTAAAATTCCATCTCTCATATTTATAAATTACTGATAAAAATTATCAGAAAAAGAAAAGAGAAGAGAAAAAAGATTACTGGTATATATGTACTCATCATTTAAAAGTCTTAATTGTCTTTGTAATGCCTTTACTGACATAATATTATTCATGTTTACATCTTCCACCTGTGGGGATGGAGTAGGTAAGGCTGTGTGTTCGGTAATGTGCATCTGTTGTCATTTTTACATAATTTGGTGTAGATTTGTATTATTATTTTACTGATTATGTGGGTTTTGTTCGTATATATATATATATATGAGTAAATCTTTCCTACACTGACGGTATATACACTATCATCGTTGGATTCATGACATGTGTACAAAAGTTGAATTTCAATTTTAAATTTTGTATAGTCGTCATTCATCAAACGCTGATAGTGTATACACTATCAGTGTAGGAAAGATTAATCATATATATATATATATATATATATATATATATATAATCTTTTAAGGAGTACAACCATGTGTCTGCATACATACCAAGTTTTATAAAAATCACAATAATCGAAGACAATTGGATAAAGTCAAAACAGTACACCAACCGGAGTTTAAACTTGTCCGGTAGCATATCCACATTTCATATGCAGAAACATATATAGTGCATAAGTTGTTAGCATCTGTGGTTTGAGCTATTTAACATGCCTTGAAAGTTGAAAAGCTTTTCTTGCACATTTAATGGATTGGGCAATGGATAAGGTTCGCATGGTTGAAAAATCAGTTTATTAATTAATGGATCAAAGGATAAAGTGTAGCTGACTAGACAAAATAATTCAAAAAGTTCAGCTTACTCATTGAACCGTTTTTTTTTATTTTCTTTTTGACAGCTATCTCAGATTGAAGTGCACCATTTTCCAAAAAAATAAAAAAAAGGAAAAAAGGAAAAGAAAAATAAGAAGAAGAAAGAAGTGTACTACTACCATTAATTTGCTTTGGTTAATCTCTTTTAGTTAGTCAAGGCGAATTAACAGAACGGCTGAAATAGAGCAGTTTTCAAATATATATATATATATATATATATATATATATGAATTCAATTAATTTTGTTACTATTAATGCATTTTGAAATTAAAAATAATTGTTACTATTAATGCATTTTGAAATTAAAAATAAGCGCACGTTTAGATTCTTTAAATTGATAATGAATTAAAGATAATGTGCCTGTGATCTATAATCTATTTCAGATTCTGTTCTAATGTGACAGAAACTGCGATCATTTATTTTTCATCCTGTACTTTTGAAATTGCAGATGAATACGGGAGTAATGACAAAGTATATGCGGCAAAGAAGGCAGCATCCTATCAACCCAGTCAGCCGACTGAGGGAATCCCAATTGGGTATGGGTTTCCCTGATTGGAGGCCGCGAAACCAATTCGTAGAAGTTGATTGAAATCTCCTTTTAAAGTTGATCGACTATGATACCTAAATAAATTAAATTACTTATGCTACAATTGTAACATAACATTACATATTACGTGGAAAAGACCTTTTGCTCTGTTTACCAGCAAAAGAGAGGTAGGTGCAATGTACTGAATACTTATGAAATAAAATGTATATTTCAAGGTATCACTTCGAAAAGGGCAAAAAACTTAAAATGGCCCTTGAATTATCAAGTTTGTATGCTTTTGGCCCTTCAATTATTAAAGATGCCAAATTACTCACCAAACTTGTAAAATGTGTATATTGTTGGTCCTTCCGTTTATTATTCATGTTAAGACTAACAAAACCAAAGGATATAATGGTCATTACAGTTATAGGATTGAAGATTTCTCAATTACCGTGAGACAAGCTTTAATTTTTCAGTAAAACAAAATCTGAAGTTGTTAAATAGTGGCAATTGTATTTGCAAAAGAAAAGAAAAATCCACCATAAATGAAGTAGACTATGCAGCTAAACATGTGTATGACCATAATCATTGCCCAAGCTGTTAGTGATATCTTTGTCATGTATTTCCAAGTTTCAATATTTATCTCTTTAATTCTCTCCATTGCCTCTTTATGACCAGCTGCATCAAAGCTCTTAACTGCCTGTCAGAAGTAATTACTAAGCAGTAACCCTGGAAAAGACAGTTTAAAGTTGCTCTGAATATGCCAACAGCAATATCAAGCATTAGTGTGTTAGGAAATTGGTTTAATTTCTTTTAGGTAGCATTCTTATTTTGTGTGGAAGTAACTAGTTTTCTAATTGGATTTAGTTACTTGAAGTAGTAGTCAAGTAAAACCCTATTTAACTAGATACTATTTTCTACTCTATATGAGTTTAGGAAATAGTATTGGTTTCCAATTGTTATTTGATTTTTTGGCAGTAATATTCTCTATAAATAGGTAGATTGGCATACTACAAAGACACACAAGGAGATACAAGGGGCATCATGTAGCCTTATACATGGGGTGTGAGAGAGGGTTCTTGGGAGATGAGAGATGGTATACAAGGGTTGGGTTTGGGTTCAAGTTGTATTCTTGTATAGGATTTTCCTCTCATAATAAAGAATAGGTTTCTCTCCGTGGACGTAGGCTCAATGGTGGAGCCGGAACATGTTAAATATTGTGTGTGTCTATCTTTCATGCTTGTGGCTTGTTGCTCATTAAATTGTTATGCACTTGATATCTCAATAGTTGTTTATTTCTCGTTTGGATCCTAACAAGTGGTACCAGAGCCTAGTTGCGAGACTGGGCTGCTCAAGGTTCATAGTTGGATCCTAGTTAACTATTGAGATCAAGTGGATTGGTAGTTGTTACTAATTGAACAATTTAATGAGTGGTATCCTTGTTTCAATGGCTTGGCAAAAAGCATTGATGGTGAAGGATGAAAAGTCGAAAAGTATGGAGATGCTTGACGGTGAATCTAGACAGGTGATTCAAGGGTCAAGGAAAAGGTGGAGTCCAATATTAATTTTGAACGTGAATCGGTGGAGACTTTCTCATACCTCCAACGGTTGATACTTCATCCCGGTAGATTTTAGATTTTGGTTATGTTTTTTGGGTGATGTGGCACGTGTCCCAAAGAATTAAAGAGATCTAATTTCTATGCGCCAGAAGACTCTGACAGTTATGAGTTTTTCGTTTTAAGTGGAGTCTTGAAAATCACACATGGCGAGATAGTTCCGAGGATGGGAAGAAGTATGGTGATTTTACCACTTGATTGCCTCAATGGTTAGGGTTAGAGCTCACAGAAGGAGATCCCAAATTACAAGTGGTGGTGAGAAGAAATTCTGCAAAGAGAGATGGTGAATTGAAACACCTTCTCACGAGTCAACTGGAGGTTGGACTCGCAGTAACTACACGTGTTCATTTGCCGATTGAATCAATTTGGTGTCAGGACTGTATTGATTCAGGTGTGTAGTTTTGTACTATATTATTTGGTAGTTGAAGGCAAATGATTGCTAAAAGAAATTTTCGCCAAGATGGAGATTTATTAGGAAATTGGCTTAATTTCTTTTGAGTAGAATTCTTATTTTGTGTGGAAGTAACTAATTTCCTAATTAGATTTAGTTACTTGAAATAGTAGTCAAGTAAAAAACCCTATTTAATTAGATACTATTTTCTACTTTATATGAGTTTAGGAAATAGTATTGGTTTCCAATTGTTATTTGATTTTTTGACAGTAATATTCTCTATAAATAGGTAGATTGGCATACTACAAAGACACACAAGGAGACACAAGGGGCATCATGTAGCCTTATACATGGGGTGTGAGAGAGGGTTCTTGGGAGATGAGAGATGGTATACAAGGGTTGGGTTTGGGTTCAAATTGTATTCTTGTATAGGGTTTTCCTCTCATAATAAAGAACAGGTTTCTCTCCGTGGACGTAGGCTCAATGGTGGAGCCGAACCACGTTAAATATTGTGTGTATCTATCTTTCATACTTGTGGCTTGTTCCTCATTAAATTGTTAGCGTATGGTATCAGTTCATCATATGCTAAGTTCAGACCTTACATTTAACATAATTTAATTAGCACAAACAGAAGATTGGCAGTTAAGTCATATGATAGTAGAAATGGGACATTTGTAAGTAGAACAAAAAGTACCATTTTTCTATCACTCATAAATGTTAGAGGCAATTGGCTATCAAATGGACCAGAGTATTCTTCAGAGAAATGAAAGAACCATGACCGAGTCTCTTTGTTTTCACATTCAGCCATAGCAATCGCAAGAGGGCGTATGCTGTTATTCCTATCCAAAGCCACAACAGTAAGCAACATTCCTCCATATGGTCCTTTGAGGTGGCAACCATCAAAACCAACAAATGGCTTGGAATATCTAAGATATCCATCCTTTTGTGCTTTGAAACTAATAAAAATTCTCAGAAATCTTGATTCCGCCAAGAGATTAGGCCTGTCAAAATGAATCTTGCAGATGCATTCTCAATATACTAGGGCAAGCTTGCATATGGCTCATAGTGTGTATCCTGTATCTCTTCCAGTACCCTTGTCTTTGCTTTCCAAATCTGCATCTTGCTCGGATGCATACCATATTTGATACAATCTTAGCATAGACACTTTCTGTATTCATTTGAGGATGGATCCAAAGAAGTGGAACTAGTTTCTTAGCAATCCAATCAGATGTAGCCTCCGCATTCCTATTGTTCATAACACAAGTGTGTTGAGATGTGTAAGACTTAATTTGAAAAGTAGTTGTTTCACCAATAGGAGAAGCATGGATTCTCCATGGACAGCTTTCAACAGCACACTTAGCAGTACACCTTTTCTTTTCATTTTTCAGTCTTACTATGGGAAAACCTTTCTGGATTGCATAATCCTTCAAAGCAGGCCTAAAAGCATCAACATTGGTGAATAACATATTCTTCTCAAATTCAATATCCTCTCTCGGATTATAGGTGAATATTGTTGCTCTTAAAGCTGCCCTATTTGGATCAATTTCTTCCTCAGATTCAGAATTCAGAATTATATCACCTTCATCATTCACCTCATAATCTGAGAAGGCAATATCACTCCTATCAAATGATTCATGTACCTCACTGCAATTGCTTAAGCTATCCTCTTTGTCATTGTTTGCTTCATACAACCAAGAATCATCATCACTTGAAATGAACACTTCATCATCCCTTTCAATATTTTGCAAATTAGGTTCAACATTTCCAGTAGTCTCCTCAATTCCTAGATTTTCTTGGCCACCACCAAAGTTGTTATTGTTGTTCACCTCAGGCATATTAAATAGAATTACATCCATATGATCCACAAACAAATTGATCACCAGCTCATTATCATGCACCTTAAACATTTCCATGACCGCCTTATCAGTATTGACATCCATTGTTGTAGCACTTCTTGAAATCCCACATCTCATATGGAGCAAATAATTAAGATTTCCAGGTAATTTATGAAGTGCTTTCTCACAAACATCATTCAACAGTTCTATATAAGAATACTTACCAAGATCCACATTGGGAATCCTGGTTCCTCTTCCATTGTAGCGAACTACAATGTCATGTGCAACCACAAGTGACATCTCGTTTTATCCAAATTAATTATTAGTATCATAATTGTTACTTACTAACATCAAAATCTAAATAATGAAGTAAAATATTCTTTGTCATATAAGAACGCCTCAGAGCAGCTTTCAAAATACAAAAAAAAAACTCCATAATCCATCATAAATTTTTTCTTTTCATTTACCCACATCAGATAGCTTTATTATTCTAGAACAACCTCAACTTATCTTTCATTCTTCCATTACCATCCTTCATTACTCAACAAGCTCTACATAACTAGTGCAAGCCATTTATCTACTAAATGAGATGAACAAATACTTTTAACTAAAATTCTATTGAGTCACCAAACATCTATATTTTAGACAAAAAGCAAGTAACGCCATATTGATCATCAAGTAAAACTCATTACAACACAACTCTCCCTCTATAAATCATTAAGCTCTATGAACATTAGTTGCACAAATATCCATCAAATACACCACATGCATGCCTTATTAGTCATAGATTTGGCATCAAAAACATCAACATAGACGTGATCTAACCTTAAATCCACTATCCCTTTTTGCTGCCTAACTTTTGAAGCAATCTCACAGCCATATCTTCATCTTATAATAGTAATAACAGATTATATGCGACAATAACAAGGATACAAATCATTCACATCCGCTATTAGTGTCTATTACTTGTAAATAGGTATAACAAATCTAACAAAATTGTGATCTTTTACCTCAATAGCTTTTGATCAAGCTCATATGTTGCATATATACTACTATTCTGACTTATCCTTCGTGAGATGAAGGATTTTTATCAGTTTCGCTACTAGATCCTTTCCTTTCTCTATAGCTATTTCTTCTGCACTTTAGAAGTAGTATGACTGTTAGGAAGGCGCCAAAAGCAATATATATCCCAAGTTTAATGGCGTCAAATTACATGTAAAAAATATTATACTTGGAAGATTTATATTTTTCCAACATTTCTAATATTTTAGAGACTGATATTGTGAGGATATTTTTGTCACTTTATTGCTGCTAAAGTTGACATCTGGTCACATCAAAATGAAAAGGGAGGGCAGTGTAATTTTTGATATTAGAGAGTATTTATGTGTAATTATCAGAAATCTCAGGTTTCTAAAATTATCCCAATTTAACTTATAAAATAATTTTTTTCCTAAGAAAAGGATGACAGATATTTTATCACTTAGCATTATATTTAACTTTATAATTGAGTGGAAGTAAGTATGGTTTCACACCTCCATTCTAAACCTATACCTTATACAAACTTTTATACTAATAGTACAAGTAGTTAATACATCAAAAAGTACAATGCAGTTTTGGTACCCACATTTTGACTCTTGAGCAATTCTAGTACCCAAACTTTGGACGAAAATAAATTTGGTACCCAATGTTACATTGTATGAGCATATTTAACACAATTAATGGATTTTTTCAAATTTCTATGACAAAATCATGTGCTGTCACAATGCGCCATAATGAAATTATAAAAAAAATTCCAAAATAATTGGAAGCTTACTTGCAAACCTATCATCTAGTTTAAGAAATAATAAAACATCAATTACTCATTTAAAAACAAAATAAGTTAACTTAAGAAGATACCCAATTGAGCTAACCATACACGCTCCAAACTCCCCTCTCCTCTCATCTCTTCTTATCTTCATACCCTTTCATAAACAAGCATTAAAATAAATAAATAAAATAAAATAAAATAAAAACGAGCTAAACTTAGAGACATTTGTTTTAATCGAACTTTTATGGATTCAACCATGAAACCGTAAGAAAAATTTAGTGACATTTAATCTCACATGAAGAGGTGGAAGCAAGAATTCGAAGATTCTTCAATTAGATATAAACATGGACTTTCTTTACAATTTCATTGCTAGAAATGTGATAACACGTGATTTTTTGCAAAATGAATTTGAAAAATCGATTAAGTGTACCAAATACGTTTAAATATTGTAACATTGAGTATCAAATCTGTTTTTGTCCAATGGGCTCCCGAGTCGTTAAAGCACCAAAATTTAGGCACCGAAACTGCATTTGCATTTTACTCCAAAATATCAAATTGTGAATTTTGAATAGAAGGATGTGGATTTAACTCCTTCTTTTAAATAACGATCAAGTAAAAATGATTTTTTAACAAATTTGATGGTGGGTTCTTGTTGGCAGGGCACAAATGATTGCGGGTTGAATAGTTCCAGAACAGTTTTGTTCATTTCAACCAATTGTGAGTCTTTAATCAGTCATATAAATAACTTTGAACACAGCCTAGAGTTAAAACGCGTTGAAAACAACTACGTGATCGGAGTCTAGAATTTGTTTGGATTGCATTTTTCTGAACTTTCTATAAAAATAATTATTATAACGATTTGATATATATAAAATAAAAATATGATTGAAAAATATGTTAAAAAAAAAACGTAACAATTTTTCAAAGCAATCCTCGACCCACAAATGGTACGGTTCCTACACCAAATTCTTCTTGGCAAAGGTCCACAGAACTAAGCCAAGATGAGTGCCTACTCTAGTCTATAAGGAGAAATGACGTGTTTTCTACCCGTCTTTTAAGGAATTTGCCTAGTCTCTTTTTATCAGCGTGCCCTCATCGTGGGGAAACTGGAAAGGGGTGGCAGGTGGGTGAGCAACTCACTGAGATTTTTAAATTCCTATTTCTTAACATTGGAGCATTATTTCTTTCAAATGGATCCTTGGAAATAAGTTTTTGCCACCTGACAACATGTTTCAATTTAAACCAAGCCCTCCCTTGTCTTGTACATATCTAAGTATCGCCCGTTCTCCCTAGTCTTGTATATGTCCACGTATTGCCAATGCTTCCCCTTCTCTATTCTCTCCTTGTCCTCCATCAGTAATTTTCAAACAGTCTGGGATTGGCTTTATTATCATGACTTTGATCAATGGTAACCACTTTTATAAGCCTTCCAAAATATGGCAATCTGAAAAATATATGAGGCAAAAATATATGAGGCAAAAGATGGGAGAAGCATTTGATTACATTCAAAATAGTTTGGGACTAATTATATTGACTTCAAAAGGTTTTTTTTTACGACCAAAAAGTTCAAGAATGTTCAAGATACCTTAAGCAGATAAAAACTCAAACACAAAATTTGGGAACACATACAATGAAAGGCACCAGTTTTGTTTCAAGCAATTACAAACATCTTCTAACCGAAATATGTTGGGCAATAAAATTTTTTTAGCACAATCTTTTTTCTGATGCTTTTACCCGCTTGATGAGCTATGTCAATCAGCTACTTGATGTTAGAGCTTTTAACGAGTATAATCAAACCAAGTACATAATAGTTAAACTCTATTCACATATTACATGAATAGAATTGGAATTCAATTGAATATTAAACGACTTATAAATTCGATTCGTTAATTGGTACAGATATTTAATTTCAAATTTGAGTTCGGCTCATTTAATTAAACCAGTAGAATTTGAGCTTGGGTTCAATTTCAATTTTGAGTTTGAAAATGATTTAGTTACTTTTTTTTTTTAAAGTAATACATGGTTCAGAATAAATTTGAGCTTGGCTACACTATAACGATTGATGGCAAGTGGACGACAATGTCTATCACTTTTCATATTTACGAAGCATTATTTCATTTTCTATCACTTTTGATGGCAAGTGGACTTCACTAGTGAACAATTTTTTTTACGCGTTAAGGACCAAGACTTAAAAGAAAGGTTATGGCGGTGAGAGCACGCACCGCCCGACTCTTGGAGAAATTTTTACGGCTGAATTTAAATGGAGCTAGAGATAGGAAGAATACTCCACCTATAATATATATGTGTGTGTAATCATTTCTTTTGAGTAGACATACAAAAAAATACTCCACCTATAATACATCAACTTTTTTTATTTTAGCTCCGATTGTTCTTGACTTAATTAGGCTTGAATAAGTAACAAACATCGCGGACAAGCCAGAAAGTGTTTTACAAAGCTCCACCATCCGAATAGCCCCAGTTTTGAAAGTACAACCATGCAAATGGAAGATTTATTTTTTGAACGCATCTGCTATAAATATTTTCTAAAAACCCAAGACAAAACTGATCCAGCTTTTATTATTTGTTAAGAAAAAATTACTGTTTTATTCATTTTTAAAAAAATAAAATAATTATTTTTATTTTTTTAAACTTGAGTAGGCTCGACCTCGAGCTCGAGCTCGGCTCGGCATAATTTGAGGTCGAGCTCAAATTCGAACTTTATATTGAGAGTTCGTCAAGTTCGAATTTGGTAAAATTGAGTCCAAACTCAATTCAATTAAATCAAAACTTGACTCGAATCAACTTGTTTGCAGCCCTACATCAGCTAAAAAAAAAAAATTACTCCCAAAAATTTTGTACACTTAAAACACAGTCGGATGAACTCAATATGTTAAAAAAGGAAAGTAGAAATCCAAAGGAGTAATTTTCTACCAATTCTATAGGCAGAATTAGTTGGCCGTAGTACTGGCTCAAAACAGAATTTAATTGATATCGGAATCTAAACTTCTATTTCTATTTCTGCTTCAGGTTAATATACTGTTAATGCGCAAATTAGGCAGTTTATTTGTTAATATTTTCCCCTTTATTTTGACCAAATGTTGTGATAATTTGCTAGATTCTACTTATAATTGAATTTTTGTGTGATTTCTAGGAACTTCAAGTTAATTGAGGCAGAAAAGGAGAAATCGAAGCCTAATTGAGGAAATTCCTTTAAGAAAATCTTGATACAAGTTTCTTAGTTGATACTAGAAAGCACGCATCCCATTTGATAGGGAATGAAGCAGAAAACTACCAAAAAGGAGGGACTTTATGGAGAATATGGAGACTTCTAAGGGCTTCAAACCTTGGGTCCTTGAATTGGTGGGGAACCACAAAGCTAGTAAAAGATATTTGGTCATTTGGGCTCTTCAAAGAAAGCAACGTAGAGAGACTTGGAAGAAGGAATAATTTTGGAGACTTTGTCCACATGTGTGGGGACCACCGGAGATAGCTT